AAAAATTCTGTGGAGGGATCAGATGGGGAGAAAAATATAATTAACCAAGTTGCTTTAAAAATGCTTTCTTATATCTGAAAAACAAAAAGATTAAGAGTCAGCAATACTTTCAACAAAAGTTAAAAAATATATATATTACTAGAGGCCCATTGCACGAAGAGATTCATGCAATAGGCATTTCTTCCCCTGGCTGTTGGCACCGGTTTTCCTCTAGCACCAGGGACCCAGGCCTTCGCTCTGGCCACAGTGGAGAAGGCAAGCCTCTTCAGTCTTCAGTCTTCGCTGGGGCTGGAGCCTTCAGTCTTCACTCCGGGCCTGTATATGCAAATTAACCTTTACTGTTGTTGGGTTAATTTGCAAATCCATCCAGATTGGCTGGTGGGCTTAGCAGAGTGACACCAATTTGCATGTTTCTATTTTATTAGTGTAGATTAGTATAGATTTTCAGTTCACTGAGTCCCATAATCAAATTTTGTTTCTCCTGATTTTTCCTGTTAATACTTCTATAAATTCAGATACTTCCTAGGGTTGTAATAAATTTCATTCAGTTTAGAGGAAATGATCTGAAAATGTCAGAGTCCTTTCCATGGGTTCCTCTGAAAATGTACATCTTTCCAGATGCATTATAACAAAACAGCGATTGTCTCTAAATAACAAGAAATTTAAAATGGCATAGTTATGGATTTGATTATATTGCAAAAGACATGGAACCCTGTCCTTTCTGTAAAACACAGTATTCCACAATATTTTCACTAGCAGTTATAACTGAAAGCATATCAAAATCTATTTAATATGATATATAAATAGAACATAATTATTACTTCTTAATTTGACAAAGCTTCCCATGTACCTTAACTATAAAATGTCCCTTCATAAAGAGAGAAAACAAATCTTGAGGCATTCCAGGGCCTACTGGAATGACCTAAAGCCATTTCTAGGTCAAAAAAAGTTTCTTAAAATTGAAATCCTGGGAAATTGTTAAACTTATTTTACCACAAGATTATATATCATCATCATATTTATGAAACAGTATTAGACTATTTATTCATTCAAAATGACATAAACATAGGCTAGCAAAACTTTACTTCCCACAATTAAAAAGATCACCTTTTTTTTTTTTTAAAGTAATTAAGTACCTGACTGAAAAAACACAATATATATATACTTACCTGGCAGGGGAGATACCATGATCATGAAGGTGGTTTTCCCAGAGCGAGGCTTATCCATTGCACTCCGGATGTGCTGACCCCTGCGATTTCCCCAAATGTGGGAAACTTGACTGCATAATTTGTGGTAGTGGGGGAAAACAAACAAACAAACAAAAACACAATATATAATTATTTCAATACTTTATATAACTTTTGCTTCCTAGGCAAATACAGGAAAAACTTTTTCCCTTTTAACAGACTGGAGAAAGACTAAACAAATTCTGTATTTGCTACTTTAGATTCATTTATCTAATTAAATTTATTCAGATTACCTCTAATTTCTTTTTAAGATTTTTCTTCACAATCCTTCTATAACTTATATTATTAACTCTATAAATCTTATTATTAATTAGCTTTAGAACAACTTAATTTCCATTTCTCTTCAAAACTGCATGTCTATACCTCATGTCTTCTACTACCAAAAACATGTAATTTATTTTCAATTAGTTAGAATTTTTTAACTCTTAGAAACCTTAAATTTTAGGTGACAATAAATTACATAACATTTATCAGATTAGCAATACACTCACATTTTAAGAGATATATTTGAAATAAAATACAAGACAGATTCATTAATAGATTCAAATCTATCTTCTTGATTCTCTATAATAAAAATCCTAAAGTATGCAAACTCAGATATTTGAGTATCCTGTTATTTCAAAATACCTAGATATTTAATTTTTATTATTTAACCCAGCAA